AGGCAAGCACTTAAGCCCCTGAGCTATATCTCCTGCCCACTAAGTACTTTTCTAAGAATAAAGCTTTTCTCTGAAACATCTCACTATGGCTCAGGTTCATGTACTGTATCATAATTCCTGAATGAAAAGAGAGATTTTTTGTTTGTTTGTTTTTGCAGTACCAGGGATTGAACTCAGGACCCTGCGCTTGCCAGGCTGGTGCTTACTCTACTGAGCTATCTCCCTGGCCCCGGTTTTTGGTCTTTTTGAGACTGGATCGCCCTATGCAATTTAGGCTGGCCTTGAGCTCACTTTGTAGCTCAGGCTGGTCTTGAACTCTGATCCGCCTGCCTCAGCCTCCTGACTGCTGGGATTACAGGCGTGTGGGATCATGCCAGGCGAAAGCAGAGCTTTTTACCTGGGTCCATGGGGATGGAACTGTGGTTGCTCAGCGCTGCGGCTCCCTCCTCATCTTCGTCATCACTTTCTAATGGTGGGTCTGGCAAGTGAAGCCCCAGGGCCTGCAAAGAGCCAGAGGTGGCAGCTTGGGTCCAGCTTTTCCGTAAGTCACCTGCTCAGGAGTAATTCCCCCTCCACCGTACCTGGATCCGATCCTGGATGTCAGCAACTACATCTTCTCCGTTCCCCACGGGTGCCAGCTCTACCTCTTCGGGTTCAGGATCTTGGTTCAGCGGTTGATAGGAGTAGCCCTCCGGGCCTGCCCCCGGGTCCTCCTGTTCTTCCTCGGGTTCTTCACTGCTCCAATCCCCGGTGCCCTCTGTGGGGCCCTGGTGTGGTCCCAGGTCCTCGCTTTGGTTGGGGAAGATACGCTCAGGGCCCATGGTGTCTCCCGATAGAACTGCTGCTGCCATGCGGGCTGGGGCTGCAAAACAGGGTGATAGGAACTGGGTGAAACCAGCCCACTTTCACCCTCTCGTCCGGGAGACTAGCTCCACTCCTCACGGTCCTCGCATCATCTTCGCTCCTTCCCGTCTCTCGTTCCTCTCCCTCAAGTCGGGGGCTCCTACACTGAACCTAGCCCCACCCGCCTCGCTCCCCCAATTTCTACATCCACAGCCCAACCTAAAGCACCATCCCCCCTCCGCGACGCCCAGCTTCTAGAACCCCAGAGCTCTGCCACGCCCCTCTGGCCTCGAGAATGCGAGGTTGCCGGGCCCCCTAGCCAAGACGAGCCCGCCCCACCTCCGCTCCTCGAGGCGCCCCTAGGTACAGCCTGGCAAGAGCGCCTCAGGCCCAGCCGCGGCGTCCCGGCCCCCTTCCACCGACTCTCGGCGCCGACATCCCCGCGCGCCTCACCCTCTTGCAGGCCACAACCCGACCCGCACCTTCACTTCCGGTCAGGCAAGCGCCTAGGCGCCGGTTCCTCCAGCTCCGCCCCGTGTCCCTGACTGACGCGAGCGAAGACGAGGAGTCCACCCCTCGCCCCGCCTCCGCCATCCCTGGCTCAGATAACAAAGGACTACATTACCCAGTGACCCACGCGCTCCGGACACAGTTTTGCACATGCGCACAATCTCTCCGTCGGCGTCCAGTACACTCTTCAGCCTCCAGGCCCGCCTCCGGAAACCTTTGGACTACAAGTCCCAGAAGGAGTCAGGTTCCCGCCTCCCTCCCTGAGGTCGAGTTGCGCGTGCGCCCCCAGCTGCCCGCCGGAAGCTCAAGCCTGTCTGTGTTTATCTCGTTGGAGAGCTAGGCGTCGGTTGGCACGCTACGGGTTCTAGGCTGCAGGCAGCGCGAGGACCCGCGACCCCACCCCGGCCCGGCCTGGCAGGTAGCCTAGGATGGGTTGAGAGGCAAGGAAAACTCGGGGGGAGGGGAATTGGTAACGCCCAAGTCTAAAGCTGGAGTCCAGCTTTAGTGGAGGAAGTGGGGGAGGGGCCCGAGAGTAATGCGGTGGTAGTGGTGGGAAGGGACCTGGAGGATGACGGGAAGGAGGGTTAATGGGGGAACGAAGCGATGGGGAGAATGGTAGGGAGACTCTCGGGTGAGACTTGGTGGCAAGGGAGGAAACTGAGGGATGGCTAGGTTTGAAGCTAAGCATAATAGAAGGGGAGTTTGTGGCGTTGGGAGAAGCTCAACGGGGGGAGAAGACGGGTCATAGGGAAGAATATCTGCGTGGCTGAAAGAGGACAATGAATTATTCGTTTTTCTTCGAGGTAGAAAACTGGATGTTTCTTGGGTGAATCTTGAAGTTGTAGAAGAAAAAAATGAGAAAAATGCAGAGCTTTCAGATTAATAGCCACAAATGGGGAGGGCTGAGAACTGCAAGAGACCACAGAGGGGGATGGCTACCTTAAGGGAATAGAAGCAGCTTGAAATGCCACAGGGGTAGAGGACTGGGGAGCCCCAGATGAGAGCAGCTCTTGGTACACTGGGGGTTGTACTTTCTGAGTGTGTTTGTTCTGGAGAAGCTAAGATGTTTTGTCCACCTCTGTGGAAATTGGGTGTCTTTTCTGTTTACACTTCTTGCTTTATCTGGCTGGATCTTAAGGGCGGATAGAAGCTGTGGGGAAGATGAAAGACTTCGTTTTCTAAGACCTTCACTTCTCTAAGTGCCCTCACGAGCCCAGGTCCAACACGCTTTGGATTGAGAGCTGGAGTAATGTAGCTGGAGTAGCTTCTGCCTGGGGCTATTTCAAGTTGGGCCAGGTGGCTATAAATAGCTCGGGCGTGGGCTTGTGGGGAGGTTGAGTGGGTGATACTGGCAATCCAGTTGAAAGCCATGTCTCTCCAACAAGGGGCCTCCTTACTTGAGCCGCGTGTCTGTGTGCATGCACTTGGGGTTCTGCCTGGTGCTTCTCTTTGGCAAGGCTTTTTGCACAGGGAGCAGATGATCCGCCCAAGCCCAGCAGGTGTCTGCCAACACAGTCCTTGCCAGTTGCAAGCGAGTTTTCCTGAAAGAGCCTTTAAATTATCACTAAGTTGGCAGGTTGTCTCTTAAGAGACCATGATCTCTCCTGCCTGGGTGTTTCTCTGTATCCTGTCCAAAGGCATTTTTCCTTCCTGTCTCCTTTCCAGTGCACACCCCACCCTTTCAGGCCCTGAGTAGGGGAAGAACTGCTGGAAATGGCTTGTTCTCTACCACAGAGGGTTGGGGAAGTGGCAGGAGGAGGAAACCTCTTTCCCTACCCCCAGACTCAGCATACACATACCTTCCTGGCTTAAGTTTCCAGTTCTGGCAGCATACCAGGCACAGCTGTCAAAGGAACTCTTCATGCCTGTGGGGCCCTGGGTGACCCCAGGGACAGCGGCTCAGCTTGACAAGAACTCCCTGTGAGGGGCTAATCAACTATGGTAACATGGGGTTCCCTGCCCTGGGCACTGTTCTACTCTAAAAGCTTTTTTGCTTTAAAGCACCCATGCCAGCGTTCAGTGGGATGTCTGGGTTATTAATAGCTGTATTTTGATATCCTCACTTTTAAGAGCATAGAGATTCTTAGAGAGGTGGCAGAGAACATAGCCAGAGTCAAGGGAGCATACCCACCTAGAAAGGGGGCTTGGAGCTTGTTCCAAACCAAGGACAGGGTGGAGCCTGCATGAATAGAGTGGGGGGCCACCATGATCACCTGAGTATGAACTGGTAATCAAGTTAAGGCAGCCCCACTTTTTGATATGGGAAAGCACAGGCCAGGACTTGCTCCTTGACCTCACTAGCTCCCTGGGGGCAGGGCCAGCCACCTGAGCTGACTAGTGTCCCTGTGGAGGGGTGGTGTGGGAGTCCAGGGTGACACTTGGAGGTGAGGGCTGGTTCTGGGCAGTCTCGGTGAGCCAGGCAGAAGCCTTGCCTGAGGAACCCGTGGCCCTGATTTTGCATAGGTACCAGAGGTGACAGGCCGTGCCGGGGGGGTATGTTGCTGTGACCAGTGGCCCAGGGGATGTTACGGTGGACGGTCCATCTGGAGGGAGGGCCACGCAGGGTGAACCATGCTGCAGTGGCTGTTGGGCACCGGGTGTACTCCTTTGGGGGTTACTGCTCTGGTGAAGACTATGAGACGCTTCGACAGATAGACGTTCACATTTTCAATGCAGGTAAGCCAATACTGACATTGTCCGTGGGTGCCCATGGCAGGGAGGGGGATGGGCAGCTGAATGGATTTTGGTGGTGGTTCCTGTGGCCAAGGGGGATTGGAAAAAGGTGGACAGCTGGAGGGAGGACCTAGGGCTGAGCAGAGCTGTGCCCACAGTGTCCTTGCGTTGGACAAAGCTGCCCCCAGTGAGGCCAGCCATCCGAGGGCAGGCTCCTGTGGTTCCCTACATGCGGTATGGACACTCAACCGTCCTCGTCGATGACACAGTCTTCCTTTGGGGCGGGCGGAATGACACGGAAGGAGCCTGCAATGTGCTCTACGCATTTGATGTCAGTGAGTAGGGGTCTCGAAGAAAAGTTATGTTCTGCCAGATGATGCCGAGGGGCCTGGGAAAGGTGTGGGTTGAACCACAGGGAATAGGGAACCCAGAGTTTTAGGAAGGTGCTGACCTGGCTCATTCTTTTACTTTTAGATACTCACAAATGGTCCACACCCCGAGTATCAGGAGCAATTCCTGGAGCCCGGGATGGACATTCTGCTTGTGTCCTTGGCAAGATTATGTACATTTTTGGGGGCTATGAGCAGCTGGTAAGCCTGGGGAAAGACAGGAGGTTTAGTAGGGGAATGAGAAAAAGAAAGGGGAATTAAGCATAGTGGAATGGGAGGCTTTGCTTGTTTGCAGGTTTTAAGAGGAAGGCTGGAGGGTCAGTGTGACCTTGGGCCCTTCTTTTCTTTTTGTTCTCAGGCAGATTGCTTTTCCAATGACATTCACAAGCTGGATACCAGCACCATGACATGGACCCTTGTTTGTACAAAGGTCTGTCTTGTCTTCTCTCTCTAAGAGTCCCACTCTTCATAGAAGTTATGCGAGCTCGCAAGGAAAGCAGCTTCCCTTCAGCCCCCTGCTGACATGCCCTACCTCTCTGCTCATGCCCAGGGTAACCCTGCACGCTGGAGGGACTTCCACTCCGCCACCATGCTGGGCAATCACATGTATGTCTTTGGGGGCCGTGCTGACCGCTTCGGGCCATTCCACTCCAACAATGAGATTTACTGCAATCGCATTCGTGTCTTTGACACCAGAACTGAAGCCTGGCTGGACTGTCCCCCTACACCAGTGCTACCTGAGGGGCGCCGGAGCCACTCAGCCTGTGAGTATCTGTTATTTTGGAGTGGAGTCTCTTGTCCTACCCTCTTCATTCTTTTTTTTTTTTTTCTTTTCCCGGGACAAGGTTTTGCTAAATTTCCAGGCTGGGCTGGAGTTCAATCTTTCTGCCTGGTCTCCCACAGGGCTGGGATTACAAATGTGTACCACTACTCTCCATATTCTTGACATTCCTTTCTCATTCCAGTTGGCTACAATGGGGAGCTGTACATCTTTGGTGGCTATAATGCAAGACTGAACCGGCACTTCCATGACCTCTGGAAGTTTAACCCTGGTAAATAAAGAACACTACTTTTAGGGAAGGAACAGGAACAACTCAGATGGGAGGAAAAGAATAACTGTCCCAAGTAGATGAGGAGCTGGGCAGCGGAGGTACCTGGACTGGGCTGGTACTGAACTTCTCTGTAAACTTCTCTTTAGTGTCTTTTTCCTGGAAAAAGATTGAACCAAAGGGAAAGGGACCATGTCCCCGCCGTCGCCAGTGCTGCTGTATTGTTGGTGATAAGATCGTCCTCTTTGGGGGTACCAGGTTAGGAGCAGGGAGGGTTCACAGAAGGGCACAGCCTGTGACTGATAGTAGAAAGAGGGTCTTGTGGGAATTTCCCCTCTCACCTTCAGGTCTTTTGGTCCCTACAGCCCATCTCCTGAGGAAGGCCTGGGAGATGAATTTGACCTCATAGATCATTCTGATTTACACATTTTGGACTTCAGTGAGTAGTTATCTGTGAAGTGTTTCTGCCGGCAGGCTGCCTTCTTCTGGGTAGTGCAGAACTCTACCTTTGCTTGGCTTTAACCAGCTCCCTTGAACTCCTCCCTTTAAGGTCCTAGTCTGAAGACTCTGTGCAAACTGGCGGTGATTCAATATAACCTGGACCAGTCCTGTTTGCCCCATGACATCAGGTACAGTGAGTGCTTGCAAAGGAGGAGCTGACTGGGGGTGAGTGAGCAGCCCAGGTGTGACCTGATTAGCTGGCTCTGTGGAGGACACAGGCGGCTTCTTCCTGCTGGAGGTGTAATATTCTTGGGAGTAATGAGATGGAAGGAGCTATGTCTACTACCATGTAATAAAGCCTTCAGCTGGGTAAATAATACTGAAAAAAATTAGTTTTTTGAATGAAGCTCAGAGAGACATCATCACTTCTCAAGACCTGAGCTTTATAGGGTAGCTTTTGTTAATAAGAATAGCTGATTAAATCTTTCATCCTAATTTCAAAGTAAAGTTCAGGATCCTTTGGAACATTTAGTTCTAGAATTAAGGGAGGCCCTGGCTTCCTGCCTCTGAACTCCACTCTTAGGTTCAGTCAAGCAGCAAGGATTAAACTAGGTCATGCTGAGACACTTCTTTCTGCTAGTGTCATTTCACTGCGATTCTTACTTGCTGAGAGTCTGTGTGTTCCATATTTGATGACAGGGAGGATACAGGTTGAACTGGTGGGTCCCAGGCTGGCTCAGGATTGACACACGTGCAAGTGCGTGACACCAAAGTAGACTGCTTAGGTCTTGGCATAAGGAGGTACCTGGTCAATCTTTGTAGAAATGAAAGGATTGTGGAAAAGATCTATTTGATTTTACTACGGTGGGTTGGGTGAGGGAGGCCTCAGGGAGGCACGGTGGAGCTCTGAGTCAGGCCCTGTATAAAAACATCAACAGGAAATGGACTGGAGTTTGAAGGTGGGAAGAGTGGGAGGTGGGATCTGTGGTGGGAGGGGACTAATCCTTAGACCTAGGAGGGCCCATAGGAAGAGGTAGCTGTGGGTGGTTGAGCTTTAGGCATTGCTGTGTTTATAGCTTCCTTCAAGAAATTTTGGGTTTGGGGCTCCACCTCCTCCATTAAGATTGTTGGTCCTCCAGGTGGGAGCTGAATGCCATGACCACCAACAGCAATATCAGTCGACCGATCGTCTCCTCCCACGGCTAGGAGCAGTCTACCACTTCCCTCTTGTGCCTGCTGTAGTCTTCAGTGCCCCTGCCACCTCTCACCTGCCTGCCCCCTTTGGACCTGGACTCAGTTACCTCCATGTGGAGTTGTTGGACTAGAGGTGTTTCTGTGCTGTGAATTAAGTGGGGAGCTGGCGGGAGCGAGGGCCAAGTCCCTCTCCCGTCGGGCCGAGAGCCCCTTCCCCTTGGTGCTCTGTTCCCATCCACCTCCCTCCAGCTTCTCCTGGTCCTCTGCCCTGCCCCAGGCTGGCCAGTAACCAGGCTCTGCTGGGAAGGGAGGCGAGTGGGGAGAAGGGAAACCCGCGCAGTGTCTGAGCCTCAGGAGCCTCCCTCTCTCCCCCTCCCCGTTCCATCCTCCCTGCTTGAGCATTGCCTGGCAGCTGCAGGGAGCTGCGGCAGTTGGCGCGAGACCTCCTGTCCCGGCCCCAGGAGCCAGGGTCCAGCCAATCGCCCCACTCCTTTATCCTCCTGAGCTGCTGCTGCACCCTGAAGCTCAGCCAGCTCAGGTTTTATAAAAATGAAATGAAACCAGCCCATGTGTGGCGTGTTTTTGTGGAACAGCGCGGAGAGGGAGGAGTTACATTGGGGCTGGGGACTGAGGGCGGGCACCTCGATGTTCTGGCTTCCCCAGCAGGAAAGTTAGAAATCCCGAGGCCTGACTGGGTGACTGGCTGAACCGATGAGCCCCAGCTGGCCCGGTACCCTGGCGCCGCCTCGCCTTCGGGCGGGCGGGGCCTCGAGCCGCAGTCCGCCTGGTCCGGGGCTTAAGCCCCGCCTTCGGGCCTCGGAAGAGGAAAGGCGGGAGCCGCCGGGAGCGGAAGTGATGCTGCGCCGTCGCGCCGCGGCCGTGGGCTCATGGTAAGAGTCGGCCAGAGCGTGGGGGCTCCGGGCCCGCGTCCCCGCGGGATTCGGGACGGCGGGGATGACGGCGATGGTGAGGACCAGGAGCTGGAGACTGCAGCCTGCCGCCTGCCGAAGGGTAAGCTGGGGCTCCAGGTTGGAGCGCCCCGCCGTTCAGAGCGACGTTCTCAGGAGGAGACGAACGCCGGGAGCGCTTACTAAGTGCGCGAGGGGTGAGAGAAGGCGTTGGGTCGCCAGGGACTGCTGCATAGGTCTGGATACAACCATCTGTTTATTGGGCATCCGCTATCCGCAGGCACAGTTCAGTTATTGGGACACTAGTAAATAAAGCTCTCGGGCAGGTACGTAGCCCGGGTTGGCCTCAAAAGTCAAGGCAACCCTCCTGTCTCAGCCTCTCGGGTGCTGGGAGGATGGGTTGCCTAGTGAGACCCTATGGGGGGGGCAGTAGTTTTAAAAGGTATACGAGTGAATTACTACGTAAGATTCAAAGCCCTGAACTATACTGCTTCTTATGAATTTGGTACAAGGTTTCATTACGCAGTGCAGACTCGTAGTGATCCTCCTCTTTTCAGCCTCCCCAGCACTGGGAGTACAGGGGTGCGCCACCATGTCCGGCCTCCCAGCGCGTCTGGGGGCGGGGCTGGCACAGCATGTGGTGCCAGGGATCAAACCCCAGTCCCTGCACTTTCCTATCAATGTTTTCAAAAAAGAAGAAAAAGGCTATAGAGGGAAGGGGAGAGATTACAATTCCCCCCCTTCCCCCGAGATTACAATTTAATAGCAGAAAAGGCTTCACGCCTTTCTGGTTCCCCGGCCATCTTGGTGGCTGCTCCTGGTTGAGGGCCGTCCGCACCTAAGACAGGAAGATGGTGGCCGCAAAGACGAAAAAATCTCTGGAGTCCATCAACTCTAGGCTCCAACTTGTTATGAAAAGTGGAAAATACGTGCTGGGGTACAAGTAGACGCTGAAGATGAAAGCAAAATTGGTCATCCTTGCCAACAACTGCCCAGCCTTGAGGAAATCTGAAGTAGAGTACTATGCTATGTTGGCCAAAACTGGTGTCCACCACTACAGCGGTAATGATATCAAACTGGGCACAGCATGTGGAAAATACAGAGTGTGCACACTGGCAACCATTGATCCAGGTGTTCTTATATCATTAGAAGCCTGCCAGAACAGACCGGTGAAAAAGAAACCAAACAGAATTTCTCATTAATAAAACCTGCCACAGCTTAAAAAAAAAAAAAAAAAAAAGGCTTCACTGGACAGTGACATTTCAGCAGAACGTTTAAGATGGTGTACAGAGGACCTGAGGTGGGAATATACCTTCCTGCTCAGGAACTGCTAGTAGAGGAGAGAGTGGTTTCTTTTTTTTTTTTTGCGGAACCGGGGATTGAACTCAGGCCCTTGAGCTTGCCAGGCAAGCATTTATTCTACTGAGCCATCTCCCTGGCCCTGAGAGAGTGGTTTCTGAGAATTGAAATTAGAATTAATGCAGCAGCCAGTCACGTGGAAGCAGTTGCTGTGAGCTATACGGAAGCCACGTGGAGCTTTGCATTTAGAAGATGCTATGATGTGAAGCTTGTGTAGGGGGTGAGAGTGAGGCTGGGGTTGGGAGACCTGTGTGGGGTCTGAGGTGTGGATAGAGGAGGAAAGTGCTGAGAGCGTGAGTCAGGGCCTCGGGGATGCTGACTGAGCCAGCGCCTGGGCCTGTGGGAGAAGCCTGTGCATTCAGAGAGATTGTGCAAAAGAAGGTGTGAATACTTGGTTGACCTCTGACCCTACGGTTTCTCTACAGGCAAAGGCTGCAGGTTGCTGAAACAGCTGGTGTGAGGTGTGAGTGTAGAGGCAGTGAGTGCAGCCTGTGTTGCCTGGGACTTACCGTAATCAATAGTCTAATAGTGGGGCTGGGGAGATGGCTCAGTGGAATAAGCGCTTCCCTGGCAAGCGCGAGGGCCTGAGTTCAATCCCCGGTTTTGCCAAAAAAAAAAAAAAAAAAAAGTCTAATAGAGGTGCTGGAAAGACCACATGCCTACCAGCAGGGACAGGCTGTTGTCTCTTCTTCATGGAGGGTCATGAGCTGAGCTGTGTGACCTCCCCCAACCACACTTTTTTTCAGGACTGGCTGACTTGTCATTTGAGGAACTGCTGGAAGGGGCTCCGGGCCCGCGTCCCCGCGGGATTCGGGACGGCGGGGATGACGGCGATGGTGAGTACCAGGAGCTGGAGACTGCAGCCTGCCGCCTGCCGAAGGGACTGGCTGACTTGTCATTTGAGGAACTGCTGGAACTCCAGAGCCAAGTGGGGACCAAGACACAGAAAGCATTAGTAGCTAGAAACAGCACTAAGAATCCAGGCTCTCGAGGCTCTGCCCTGAACCCCTGTGTTGCAGATAAGCACAAGCCTCTGGAAATGTCAGCCAAGGTCCGAGTGCCATTTTTACGTCAGGTTGTCCCCATCAGTAAAAAGGTGGCCCGGGATCCCCGATTTGATGATCTGTCAGGGGAGTATAATCCTGAGGTGTTCGACAAAACTTATGAGTTCCTGAATGACATCCGAGCCAGAGAGAAAGAGGTGGGCTCCTGCAGCTATTTCCTGGGGGTCGGGTAAGAGACGGGGCAGAGGGGAGTAGGAGGCATTATTCTCCATAATTTGTTTCTCTTGACATTGTGCTTCATTGGTTTTCCAGCTGTGTGACCAACACAAGTTACTTAATGTCTTTGCTTTATTTATCTATTTTATTTTTATTTTTTTGGTTGTGTGGGGAAGTTTTGTTACCTGTACTTTTTTTGTTTTGGACAATCTTGCTATCTAGTCCATGTTGGCCTTGAACTCCCGGTCCTCCTACCTCAGCTCTACTTTTTTTTGGTTTGTTTCTGTTTTTTGTATTTAGGACAGGGCGTACAGGGTCTCACTTGTAATGATCCACCTGTGTTGAGCCTCTCCCAAGAGCTGGGATTATAGGCACACACCACCACGCCCAGTCCCAATCACCGCCTCAGCATAGGGGGGGGGAGGCTAGCACAGCAAGTGATGGGGATTGACCCCCCCATACTGGGGGTTGAACTCAGGCCCTTGTGCTTGCCAGGGAAGCATTTATTCCACTGAGCCATCTCCCCAGCCCCAGGACCCTGTGCTTGTCAGGCAAGTACTTATTCTACTGAGCTCTCTCCCCGGCCCAAAGAGGTTTGTGCTTCTTTTGTCCCAGGAAGCGAACTCAGAACTTTGTGCTTGCCAGACAGGCGCTTGTGCTGCTGAGCTGTCTCCCTGGCCCCATCAGTTCTTTATGTAGGAAGTATTAAAAATCCTCTATCAACTATTTTAAAATTTTGCATTGTTTCCAGATGCTGAGATGCAGACCTGTCATCCCAGAATTTGAGAAGTTGAGGCAGGAGGATAGTTCAAAGCCATCATGACTTATGTAGTGAGCTCAAGGCCAGCCTGGACTACATAGTAGCAGAACCCTTGTATCAAAAAAGAAAGAAAACTGTTACATTGTTGTCCACACCTTGCAGGTTGTCCTTCCTACCCAGCTGTGCCCTGGTGCTTAGCAACCCTCATCTTCCCACCCCTTCCTCCCACCCTTCCCAGGCTCTGGTGACCACATGATATTCTTTGTCTCTCTTGGGCTTTTGGGGATTTGAGATTGAATTTAGAGCCTCATACCTGCTAGATGAGCCCTCTGCCTCTTAGTAATGGCCTTGGCCCCTGTTTGCTCCTTGAGATCAACTTGCGTTTCCATATAACAAGTGAAAGGGCCAGCCAAATAGCTCAACGGATTAAAGCCCCTGCAAGCAGGCACAGGGGCAGGGATCCCCAGGCCTTGCTGTGCAGGCCCCACCTCCAGTGTGTGCTGAGACTGCAATTGAGACTGGGTGTCTAGCGCATGCCTGTAATCCCAGCTCTTGGGAGGCTGTAAACAGGCAGATCGCTATGAGTCTGATCTAGTAGTGAGACCTAAACACCCTAAAGACCCTTCTATAAAATAAAAAAAATTAAAAAAAGGAAAACTGAAAAAAAAAAAAAAAAAAAAAAAGCAAACAAGTGAGAACATGTAATATTTATCTGTTTTGCTTTTACTTAACATAATCTTGTTTCAATTTTTTTTTTTTTTTTTTCCTTGAGGCAAGGTTCACTGTGTAGTGCAGGCTGGTCTTAGACTTACATACGTATCCAGGGCTGGCCTCAGAACTCACATCAGTCCTCTTGCTTCAGCCTCCCATGTGCCATCACACTTGGTTCAGTTTTCTTTCCTTCAATTTTGAGGTGGTATCACTATGTAGTCCAGGCTGGTCTTGAACTTGTGATTCTCTGGCCTTAGGCTCCTGAGTTCTGGGATTATAGACATATACCATTGTACCTGGCTGGTTTTCTAATCACAAGAAGGATGAGATGAGCTAGGTGTGGCTCAGCAGTGTCCTGACCCGCGGGTTAGTCAACGAGGACCCTAGAGGGGGAGTAGGGATGAGAAGGGACAGGAGACACAAAAATGGAGACAAGACAGGATTCTGATCAAGTCTCATTTATTCAGGGGAGGTGCTGGATATATATAGGGGGTGTAGGAATGAGGAAGTCTCGGCTCTTGGGGGTCAGCAGGTATCTAGGCAACGGGGGAAGGTGCCACCCCTGGGGCATAGCATGTGATTCACGGGGAATGGGCAAGGTGGGAAGGACCATAAACTTAACTCAGCAGGGGAATAGAAACTTAAGAAAACAGCTGACACTGTTGTAAAATGGGTACCACTTAATGGCTTCCCACACAGCAGTAGTGTGTGCTTGTTCTGTACGGGGCCCTGGTTCCATTCCCAGCACTACACGTACACGCAGGGGTAATGAAATTGCTGTCTCATAGCCTTCTCGTGTTTTCGTGAGCTTTTGAGTAGCACTTGACACAGTCTCAGCTGACAGAGCACTGACTTTCTTGCTCATTCTGCAATGCACAGCTGGTGAAGAAACAGCTGAAGAAGCACCAGTCAGAGGAGCAGCGCGGGAAACTGCAGCAGCTTCTTCAGCGGCTGGTAAATGGGTGACATGGCCAAGGGACAGTGGAAGGCAGGGTGATCAGACCCTCCCCCATCGTCCCATCCCATCTGTGCTCCCCAGGAGCAGCAGGAAGCAGCCCAGCGGAAGAGGAAGCACCAGCAGGAGCTCCACCTGGCCCTGAAGCAGGAGCAGCGTGCTCGGGCCCAGCAGGGCCATCGGCCGTACTTCCTCAAAAAATGTGAGTGTAGCTGGGGAGATGGCTCAGTAGAATAAGTGCTTGCCTGGCAAGCACAAGGGCCTGAGTTCAATCCCCTGTTCCACAAAATGAAGGAAGGAAGGAAAGAAAGAATAAGCGCTTCCCTAGCAAGTGCAAGGGCCTGAGTTCAATCCCTGGTTCCACCAAAAAAAAAAAAATTGAGTGTAGTGCAGCCCTGGCAGGCTGGTTACAGGGACGATATGGAGGCTGGCTTAGGGAACGGTTGGGGTCAGTGAGCTCTTCTAAGGACGACATGAAGAGCTGGGTCTGGTGGTGCTCATCTGTAATGCTAGCACTAGGGAGCCTCAGGCAGGAGGATTGCTGAATCCAAGGACAGCCTAAACTATATCCCAAGGCCTTGTCTCAAAAACAGAAAAAAAAAAAAAACCAAAACCTAAAAGGGACAATGGGCTGGCCAGATTAAAGCCCCTGCTTAGGCAGACACAGGGGTCGGGTTCAATCCCTGGCCTATGCCGGCCCTGCCCCGGGCCACACTGAGAAGTGATTGAGACTGGGCTTGGTGGCCCTAGCCTATAATCCCGGCACTTGGAGGCTAAACAGCAGGAAGGATCACTAGGAGACTAATCTGTGTAGTGAGACCCTGTAGACTCTGTACTAAATACATAAAAAAATGAAAAAAGGAACAAAGACTAGGTTCTTTAGTGACTTGTAGGAAGAGTGGGGTTAGAACTATTTGCAACCAGTCTTGTCTATATAGTTCACTTAGAGATTGGTACATCCAGGCCCCTTGGGCACCCATGTCTATGCTGGGCCCCACATGTAGCGGAAGGAGCTTAGCTCAGCGTTGGTTCAGTTGAGTGAGACTGGGATTAGACGAGAAGACGGCTTAGGCTGGGATGTGGCTTGTGGTAGAGCGCTTGCCTAGCGTGTGCAAAGCCCTGGGTTCAGGTAGACAGTGGGTGCCCACGTAGACTGGTGAGCTCTAAGCAGCCTGGGAGACAGGAGGTGTCAGCTTTCCCTTTGTCATCAGCTTATTTTCTTCCTGCCATCTAGCTGAGCAGCGCCAGTTGGCCCTAGCGGAGAAGTTTAAGGAGCTAAAACGCAGCAAGAAGCTAGAGAGTTTCTTGAGTCGGAAACGGCGTCGCAATGCAGGCAAGGACAGGCGACATCTGCCTTCAAGCAAAGAGTAACAAGGAGCCGCCCTTCCGCCCCCGCCCAGGGAGCTGTGGGTCTGGAGGGCTGGCTTGGGACTGCCTGTTCTGCTAGTTCTTCTCTGTTCAAGGGCAAAGATCTGCCCCAGTACTAGGTTGGCTCAAAGACAGGAGGGATGTTGGGTGGCCTTTGGACTGGAGAGAAAACGTCACTCGGCTGCTGCTGTGCCACACTGCCTCTGTGGACCCAATCACTGTGTCCTTGCATCCTCCTTCTATCTTTGCCTTAACTCAGTAGTTGTGATACAGAAGCGGGCCCCATGGGATCTGTTTGTATGGGAGCTGTATCATAAACATTCTTGTTCATCATTGTCTCATTCTGCTGTTCTTGTGGGACACCTGGACTGCTGTCGTCCTTGCAGTAGCATGTATGGGTTAGACAACCAAGCCCAAATCAAATGAGAGGCTACTTGCACAGATTTAAACCTGGGCCCTGTGCTGGGCTTGGTGGTGCTCACTTGTAATCCCAGCACTCAGGAGGCTGAGACAGGAAGATTGCAAGTTCAAGGCCAGCCTAGGAAACTTAGCAAGAGCCTGTCTCAAAATAATAAAAATGCGGGCCCTGCCTCCCCTCTCTTCCTGAAGAAAGATAAGCTTGTTTTAATTCCCTATCCCATTCAGTGTGGCTGTTTCTCACTCAGAGAGGGAGGCAGAACCAACCAGGCTTACTTTATTGGGTTCCACAGCTGGAGACTTCAGGAAGGAGAAGAAATGGAAGAAGCCTTCTCACTGCGAGGGGTGACAGAAGCCCGTCAGTCCCTTCACCAGCTCTTAGAACTCAGTCCTGGGGAGACAAGCTCACCGTGAGCCCTGGACAAGGGATCTGTGCGTATTTGGGTCGTGGCTGTTGGCTGCGGATCTCATTTCCCTAGCCAAGGGCACAGCTTCTCGGAACGTCAACTATCTTCTTTCTGAAAACGACCAAATCTAACTCGTAACCAGCAGGGATTGCTAAGTATGGCTAACTCGTAACGTGGGGATTGCTAATCTAACTCGTAACGTGGGGATTGCTAAGTATGGCTTTGTCCCTGTGATTCAAAAGGAAAGTTTGTCGGGCAAATTCTTGTGACTTTGTGTGTGTGTGTGTGTGTGTGTGTAAGTGTGCATGGGGTGGGGTATCATCTCTGCAGATTGGAATAAACCAGACAAACTGAAAAAAAAAATAATAATAATAATAAAAATGAACAAGGATGGGCCAGGGAGATGGCTCAGTGGAATAAGTGCTTCCCTGGCAAGCACAAGGACCTGAGTTCAATCCCTGGTTCTGCGAAAAAAAAAAAAAAAATGAACAAGGTATGGTGGTCTATGCCTGTAATTCCAACTCTGTGGGAGGCAGAGGTGGGAGGATCATATAAGTTTGAGTCCAGCTTGGTCAATTTTTTTTTTTTGGTGGGGGGGCAGTTCTTAATAAGGTTGACGATACTTCTCAGGGTGAGGGCCATTGGTTCAATCCCTAATACCATAGATAAGTGATGAGGAAGAAAATAAAGAATGGAAAGATGGGTGGATGGTAGGTAGGCCAGGGATATAGCTCAGTGGTAACTGCCCTTTGAGACAGTTTCACTAGTATAATTGAGGCTGACTTTGAACTCATGGTGTAGCCCAGACTGGCCTAAAACTCTTTCTGCCTTAGCTTCTCAAGTGCTGAGATTACAGCCATATGCCACCACACCCAGCTTGATTGTAGTATTGCCCTGTTGAGTTGGGTGCCCCTGGAGGTACCTGCTGGTGCTGGTGACAGAAGGTGGTTGTGCCCAAACTCAGAGCCTTTCTCCTGGGTTCTAGCAGGTAACCAGAACAGAGTTGGCTGGTTGAGCTGTACAGGCAGCACAGGATGGAAAGTCAGAGAGTCAGATTTGGGGACTTTGTCCACTGCAGAGGAACAGGAGACACCTCTAAGTAACAAGGACAGGTGGCCTGGGAGCACCTCACAGGAAGTCAACACATGGGGGGGGCACCGCGAGGGGTGGCAATGCTAGAAGGTCCCACTGTGTCTCTTGCCGTGCTTCCTGGCTTGGCTGCTGAAGTGCAGAGCAGGGGACGCCTCAGAAGGGCAGGAAGCTGGCACTCCAACACACCCTCAAGGACATGCGCATGGCGCCAAGAGTCGTAAGTACAATTTTGGCTACAGAGGTGCCCAGGTGATAAAAGTGCAGTGACCCTGGTGCCCTGAGCCCACTGCTGCCCCAGCCTGCTGCTCCCTGGCTGCTTGTGCTCCTCAAGGCAGCTGGGGGCCAACAGTCACATGCCATGTGGCTACCAGTCCCACCCTGTCTTCCCAGCCCTGGTGTCTTCCCTCCAGGCTGTATTCCCAGTCTAGCCTTGGGTGGTGCCGGTCCCTTCTGTCTGTCCTGTGCCCTTTCACCACCTGACTCCCTCCCTGCTCCCATCCTGCTGGGCTGTGGGAACTCTCCTCCCTGCCAAGTGGCCCTGCTGCATGCCTGGGAGGCCTAGGTGCAGGTGCTGACAGGGCTTGCTGAGGGCCTCCTGAGGTAGTAATTCCAGGATGGTTCATCTGCAAGGGTCGTGGGCAGAGAACAGGAAGAGGCAACTTGCGCTGGAAGGAGGAGATAAGTGAGGACAGTCCTGGTGGTACACATCTGTAATCCCCGCATTCGGAAGTCTCACGCAGCAGATTGGCAAGTTCCAGCTTAGCCAGAAGAACTAAATAAGACTGTCTCAAAATTTGAAGAAACTTAAAAAGGGTGGGAATGTAGCTCAATGTGAAGGCCCTCACTTCAATCCCCAGTGCTGCCTCTCTAGCCCACCTAGCTCTGCCTCCAACCTGTTCACACCAGATGGAAGACACACTGGATGGACACTGCCTAAGTTATTTTAGTGAGGTGGGCCTTCTGTGGTCACCAAACACGCCTCACAATCAAATTCATTTTATTTCCAGAAGTAAAACCCCAGTCCAGGGCTACCGGAAGGTAGAAAAGCTGTGGGTGCCAGTGCAGGAGGCATAGGGGACACCCCGGGAACGAATCTGGAGGGTGTGGAAGGTGAGGGGTGGGTTGGGGCCCGAGGATCCTGGGCTCAGGGACTCTGTGTGGGGCTCCACTACTGTCACAGGGACCGCGTACAATAGCACCTGTGGTCGGGTGTCATGGCGTCTCAGTGTGCCCTTGCCCAGCAAGTGCAGGACGGAAGAGAGGACGTCAGTGCTGCTACATGTGGCGCCCTTGCCAAGGTTGCTGATCAAACCCCGGGGCGGGCACGGGCCCTTCTGCCAAGCCTCCAGTACCTGCCATGGAAGACCAGAGGTGGCTTAGAGCCAGGCTCACCCCAGCTTCCACTGCAATCACACACACCTAGGCCATGGAGCCCCAAGACACCAGTGCAGTTGACCTCACAACACAGTCCAGGCTACAGGTGACACCTGTGGCTGCTCCCCACTCCATGCCCACCGTACCAGGCAGACAAGCCGGTCAATGTGCAGGCCCTCGTCGCTGTGGGCCTTGAGGACCCGGACAACCAGGCAGTTCAGCAGGTTCCGCCTCTTCTCCAGGCTTCGGCCCTCATCTTCCACCTCCAGGTACGTCTGAGGCGGGACGAGCCACACGCTGCCCCACCTTGGCCTGGGTTCCTCAGCAGCATCTCGAATCTTGAGCACCCCTGAAATAAGCAGTTACTGGAGGCCTGGGAATCTGCCTTGCCTTGCAGCAGAGGTCTCTCTGGCCCTGGGCACGTACCTCCTGGGGTGTCCTCCTGCTCTTGCAGGTCCAAGGGGCCCCGTGTGGACGTGAGAGGCCCGATGGCCCGATGCAGCAGGTGCGGAGGGAGCCCCGAGTGCGCCAGCAGGCTCTCTACGGACACCACCTTGGGGAAGAGGCAGAGCGTTCAAGGTGCCCCGGGGGTGATGGGAGGACAGGACCGAACAAAAAGTGAGGGACGGGCAGGAGAAGTCAGGAGGAGCAGGGCCACCTTCAGACTGTTGAAATGCAGCAGCAGCCACATCTGCATGGTGGACACGTGTAGGGTCTGGTCCCCAAACTGCAGCTCTGCACGGCCCAGCCATGTCCACTCCAACTGCCGATGCATGCCTCCCTCTAGGGCCGGCTGGGTGTGACCTGGAGGTGGTCAGAGAAGATGGCGTGGGTGCCAGGCCAAGCTTTGTCCCATTTGTTCCTGTACAGCACCTAGTGGCTCCCAACTCCAGACCTCATGCCCGTATCCCTGGCAGCTCAGGTATGAGACCCACCCTTGTCTAGTCCCATGCCAGGCAGGTGCCAATCAGTGCCCTTTTCTGTTTCCTGAGATAGGACCTTGCTATGTAGTTCAGGCTGGCCTTGAACTCATCATATAGCCCAGACTGGCCTCAAACTTGAAGAAACCTTCCTGCCTCAGCCTCCTGAGATTGTCAGGATCCACTCCAATACTGTCCCTTCCCCAGGTCCCAGGCCTGCTGTTTGGCCACTCACTCTTATGGTAGAAGTTGGAGTATTGATTCAAGGTTCCCCTCAGGTAGGAGGGCAGGCAGGTTTTGGGATTCAGCATATGGCAGATGGAGGTGACAGGCCAGCAGCGTGGGGACAGGACAAGCACGGACACTTTGGGCATCACCCCTTCATAGCAGAAATCCTCACTCTCCTCTTCCTCGCCCTCTGCTACGGCTGCAGCTTCAGCTGCCTTCACATCCTCCATCTCATGTTCAGGTTCCGGGCCACCAGCCTCCTGGCCCACCTGAAGAGGCATGGTGTTTGCCTATGCCAAGGGACTGCGGTGGCTGCCCCAGGCCCTTCCTTCCTCCTTCCATTTTGTTCATTCCTGCCCTGGCCCCACCTGCAGTTTCCTCTCCGTGTCTTCCAGCTTCAGCAGTTCCTCATCAAGCTGCTGCAGCTGGTAGACGTGGAATTGGCGCTGTAGCTCCTCTGAGGTTCGCAGGCTCCGCAACATCAGCTGTGGGAGGCGGTTGGGGAAGCAGAGGCCGATCTGCTCCAGCACCGCCCCCTCCAGCCAGCTAGGGCCCAAGCTCAGGAGACGGTCAGCCATGTAGTGCCTGCAACACAGGCCCAGCCTCAGTCTGGGTGCCAGGCTGCCCTAGCGTGGCAGCCGCCAGCTCTTGGTCCTCATGCCCACACTCACTGGTAGTAATGCTCAAAGGTGGTAGCCACTTCCAGGCCAGAGAAAACAAGGGTCGCTTCTAGGCACCTCTGCAGCTGCACCAGTGTCTCCATGCCCTGGGCACCTCCAACCCGGCTGCTCTGGATCCGCTGGTCGATGTGCCGGGCAAACTGCTCGCTCACCTGGGTGTTGAGCATGAATAGAAAACCCCATGGGCAGAAGCAGTAGCAGGGCCTGAGGATGTGGGCAGAGTGCCCGGCAGCCCACCAGCTGGTCAAGCCAAGCCTTGTGTATACTAAGCACACACTGCCACGCAGCAACAACTGTAGCTTTGTCAACAAAGGTAGAAAACTGTTTTATAGAAACATTAATGCTCATGCAAATTAGCAATATGAACAACTCTAAGAAGTGTTGTTTTACACATACTGTGTCTCAAAATCAGGTAACAAAGCTGGATGTGGTAGGATATGCCTGTGATCCCAGCACTCTAGGAGGTTAAGGCAGGAAGATCACCAGCTTGAGCTCAACTGATTGACTTGGTGGGACCCTGCTAGACCTGGTCTCAAGCAGTGGGGTGGGGAGCCACGCTGGGTTCCATTCCAAGCATCACAGGGAAAAGAAAAAAAGAAAAACCAGGCAAGATCAGTCTACAAACTTAGTATCATTTTGCTGAAACTGTTAACAACCAACTAAAATATAGCTTTTAAAAAAAAAATCCATGGGGCTGGAAATAGCTCAGAGGTATAAACAACTGCCTGGCAAGCATAAGGTGCTGAATTCGACCCCCAGTACAAAAAAAAAAAAAAAAAAATCCAGTGGCTGGGCATGGTAGCACACACCTGCAATCCCAGCACCTGGGAAGCTGAGATGGGACCACCACTGTAGCTACCCCTCTGCTTTGTAGAAAGAGGTTGCAGAAGTGCTTACAGCAGCACTGAACGAAGTCACCCTGCCAGTGCGAGGTCAGGAAGGCATTCACCTGCAGGGGACCTCCAGTCCTAGCTATCCCTCTGCTCCCCCTGCCCCATTTTTCCAATTTTCAGCAACACAGGTTTCGTCAGAGAAAGGAAACATGGGTGGGTCACTAAAGGCAGCGGGGGAGGAGTCTTCTGTGAAGTCCAGAGCTGGGGCCTTACGTGTGCGGCTCTGAGGAAAGGCAGTTGCAGAAGGGCCCCAGCACAGCCGCTCTGCAGTGCTAGCAGGAAGGTAGCCCTCGGCCCAAACAGCTCAGAGCTAGACTTCTGCAGGTTGTAGAAGCGCTCACAGTAGCGCTGGACGAAGTCATCGTCCCGCCAGTGCAAGGTCAGGAAGGCATTCACCTGCAAAGAGGACCCAGCATGAAGAGCTCTCTGGCAAGCCCAGAACCCTGGCCTGCACCTGCACCTGCTGCACCTGTTCCTCCACCACAGCACGCCAGCAGCGCATCAGGTTCCTCAGGATGCTGCCTGAGAGGCCCCGGGTGGCTGGGGAGCCCCAGTCACGGCTTCCATTTCTATTCTCTGTGGAAACAGAGAAAGTGAGGAGGCAGGAGGGACCCCCCAGCTCCCCAAGGGTGCCCAGGGATTTCCAGACATGCTGCCACCCGCCAGAAGAGGGATAGGAGCAAGGGAACCAGGTCTCACTGGGCCAAAGGGCTGCTGTGGGCTCGCAGGGCTCCACGTGCACTAGCAGGTGGGTGAGGCGACGCACACGTGATGAGAAGGCAGCCGCACGGCTCTGAGGATTGTGGGCAGCCTCACGACACTCTAGGTACTGGTTCAGCAGCCAGCCCAGCGCACTCACACCATCCTCATCTGGAGGTCCAGAAAAGCAAGCCATATATGGCATGTCTCCTGGGAAGAGGGTGTGGCCAGGCTGGATGGACGCAGAGAAGGAACCACTGGGCAGAGAAACACGGGGGAGAGGGTAGGCAGGCGTAGTCTGGCCTGCGCTCTCAGCTGGCACTTGAAAGATGGAAAACTAGCATGCTCTTCTCCTTGGGGTAGGAGAAAGGGGGGTGGACACTGGTGTCTGAGCGGCCAAGTTTCTGGGCATTGTGCACAGGCTAATAATCTCTGCACTCAAGGAAGCTGGGAAAGCAGGACTGCTGCAACCTCAGGTCCAGCCTGAATTACAATGGAAGCCCAGTCTCAAAAAGACAATAAAAAGTCCAAAAGCTTAAGTTAAATCAAGGGCTTAACCCTGGGGTTTCTAAAGGAAAGCAAGGAGCCAGAATGTTACCAGGTGAGGTGATGTTCTGCACCAGGGGGCTGACCAGGGCCTCCCAACAGGTCTTGCCCAGTGCCCGAGCTGCCTTATCATCAGGGAGGAAGCGATCAGCAAAATTCTGTTCCTGGCGCAGGGCCCCGTTGAGCCTGGGGAGGATGATGGAGGAGGAGGGTGTCAAGGACTTGCAGATTAGCTGCCTAGTGTTTACCCCTGCCAGCTCTGCCCTCTTCCCAGGCTTGGAGCCCCACTTGTTACTTAGAACTCGCCTGGGCTCACTGATAACCCCACTGATGGCATATAGCCACTCTGTCCCTCTTCCCCTTCCCAAGTCCACTCCTTCCCTCCCTCCAGTGCATCCCACCAACCATGCACAGCCAGGCATGTATACCCCTTGCCTACCTGGAACTCAGGTGCAGGAGGCTCCTGCGATCCTCAGCTATGTCCTGGCTCCAGGCCTGTGCCCGAACCATGTAGAAAAGACGTGTGTGGCGACACAGAAGTTCCCGAAATGCTGGCCAGAAACTGGGTTTGGGGCCCAGGACCTCTACACCCCGAATGCGTGTGTCGATGCCACCCTGGAATGCACAGGCCTGTTACCACTCACACCAACATAAGCACCTGCCTGGCAAGCACAAGGTCCTGAGTTTGATCCCTGGTACCACAAAAAAAAAAAAAAAGCGCTAGGCTCTGGATTCACCACATCCTCCCTTGCCCCAGGCCCACCTGCTGGCAGCGCTTTATGCGGATCTGAAGGATGGGCCAGAAGCGGGTCAGGTTCTCCAACAGGGTCACCCGGCTGGCACAAGGCATCACATTCACCTGTCAAAGGACAGAGAGGGCTGTCACCTCTACATGTGTGGATGGGTATGCTGTGAGCACCACCTCAGCAGCAGTTCCCTTGCCACATCCCTTTCTTCCCCAGCTCTCAGATATGGGGCTCTGATGCCAGCCCCACTACTCTGGGCCTGAGGCTGTCACACACGCACAAGGAGGACTCCAACCTCTGTAGGGCTCAGGAGTTCAAGGTCAGGCTCAGGATTGCTAATCCTAAGAGGGTGGGTTAATTGCACGGAGCCCCTACCGAGTTGAGTTCCGTGTTAAGAGAGCTGGTGGTGTTGCCTCCATATACCACCACCAGTGCTGGCATGTAGCTTGTGTCTTCCCTGGCCACCAGCAGAGTCAGCTGCCTGGGGATGAGGAAGAGGAGCTGGTGGCAATGGGAACTGGTCATATCCATGCAGACAGACCCCAGGGATTCGCCAAATCCGGAGGGATGGTGCTCCCCCTAGCTGGAAGCACAGGGAGACAAGAGAAAGCCTGAGGATGAGGCTCACACAAGCATGCACGCACAGTACCTGATGAGGACACCTTGGCGCATGTGCAAAGTGATGTGGTGGGAACCGGTGCTGCCACTGGACTCCCAGTAGGTCTTGGGGTTGCGGTCCATCAGCTTGCTGGCCCGGTGCGGGTTGGAGGACACCTCCACCTTCTCCCAGCACCTGTCCTCTTCCATGTCCACGGTGGATCCTAGAGGGTGGGAAGAAGTGGTCAGTATAGAGGGGACACAGTATGGGCACAGAGACATTGAGAAACTGGGGACAGGCACAAACCCTGGCAGAGATATCTGAGGAATGTATCAAAGAAAGGGATGTTGATGGGCCGGTGGGTTCGTCTGTGTTCTTCGATCTGGCCCAGCACCATCTGCAGTGGGAAGACAAGAGAGAAGGACTAGGATCGGAGGGAGGGACAGACAGACACACAGAAACGGGTGTGTGGCGGGAAGGACAGGACACAGCGCAGGGGGGTCACCTGCTTCTCTTGGCCTCAGGGACACTCCCTCCTCCCCACTGCCTGGTGCCATGTTCTTGTGAAGCTCTGACTCCCCAAGCTTGACCCCCACCATTCCTCCCGACCTGGATGGAGCCGCCTAGGACGTTGGTGATGAGGTTCTGGTAGAGGACTGTGTGCTTCTCGCACTTGGATATGGCATCCCGCAGCTCCAAGGCTGACTCCAGTTTTCCTGGGTGCTTCTCCAGGGCTGTGGAGATGGCATTGTGGGCTCCTAGCTGGTTTAGCACCACGGCATGGTCCCTGCTCCCTGAGGTCAGGCGGTGCAGCAAGATGATGAGCTCCTGGAGCACCTGGCACAGGGATGTCACAGGACAGTGAATGTGGGTGGGAGGGAGACAGGGCACAAGCTAGGAGGTCACAGGCACTAGTATGCGTACACTGGGAGTGCTGCAGTGGACAAGACTAAGAGAGGATGTGAAAGGACAGGGATGGGGCAACTCAAGAGAACAAGAACAAGCCAAAGGAAAGGAACCAGGGCATCCTATGACTAGTGTTCTAGGCTGCTGAGCAGGGGCAGGGAGAGCCTGGAGTTCTCAGCTGGGCCCTGCTAATCCAGAACCCAGAAGCAAGGCTGTTTCAAGTTATTCAGGCCCCAAGGACAGACACCCAGAGGACAAGGAGGGAATGGGTTTATGTGGGCCTCAGAACACCTAAGATCTGGGTAACAGCCAAAGGTGTGGACTGCAGTCGACCAGCCACCATGACCTCAGCTCTCAAGCCCCTTCTGGAGGGCACCCTGAGAGCAGAAATGCAGGCGGGTGTGACACCGCCCAGTGTGTACCTTGTACTGTTCTGATTTGTGAAGGAGAATGTATTACCTATTTTAAAAAATTAAATTTGACTTTAAAAGCAAAGCAAGGGGCCGGGGAGATAGCTCAGTAGAATAAACACTTGCCTGGCAAGCACAAGGGCCTGAGTTCAATCCCTGGTTCCACACACACACACAAAAAGCAAAGCAAACCAAGAGCACAAAGGCTGTATGGTACCCTCTAACCTCGCCTAGGGGGGGACCCTCCCCAACTCTGCACAGTCCTGGGGCAGGCCAGGGTACCTTATAGTCAGTGTTGGGGGACTTCAGGCAGGCCACACAGGCATTCATGGCCTCATGCCAGGGCAGCAGCAGAGCCTCAGGGAAGTCCGCCAGCTGCGTCAGAACTCTGGGGCAGGGGTGAGAGGGACAGAAGTGTACATCTGGCCAAGGTCCTCATCTCACCCTGCCCTTCACCAACCCTCACCTCAGTGCGGCCAGCTGCAGGGCCTTGTTGGTGGCTGGGGTGTCCAGGCTGCGCAGGAGGGCAAGGAAGGCCTGGGGCTGCCTCTGGAGCTGTAGCAGGCACGGCCTGACCTCACCTTCCTGGGGCCCCAGACAGCCCAGGGCTCGCTCAAGGTCTATGAGCAGTTGCCCAGAGGGCCCCAAACCCTCCGCCAGACGCTGCAGGGCACCAGAGCTCTCACAGTGGGGCTCTTTCTCTGCAGGAAGGGGTATCACAAGAATTGGACATTAGTGATGCAGTGGCACAGAAAACAACAGGCTGATTCCTAGCTCTCCAGCTTTTCACTAATTTCTCCTTAAAAATTTTTTTTTTTAGTTTTTTGCTTTTGGTGCTGGAGAGCCTTGTATATACAAAACAGATGAATTGCATGCCTGGATCCCAAGCTTGTTTTGTTTTTTCTTTTCCTAAAAGTTAGTTTTAGAGATTTCAAAAATATACTTAGCAGTTTCATCACAATTTTTTTTTTTTGTGTGTGTGTGTGTAAGATAGGGTTTTAGGGGGCGGGGAGATGGCTCAGGGGGTGGGGAGATGGCTCAGTAGAATAAGCGCTTCCCTGGCAAGCACAAGGGCCTGAGTTCAATCCCCGGTTCCGCTGGGTTTTACCACATAGTATAGGCTCGCCTCTCAAACTGAGGTGATCCTACAGCCTCTACCTCCCCATGAACTTGTACTTCATAGTCTTAAATAACTAAGTACCTTTTAACCTGCAAATAGCAGAGCATTTCCCTATTTAAAAATATAAAACACAGGCATGGTGGCACACACACCTGTAACCTTAGGACTCAGGAAGCTGAGACAGAAGGATCATGAGTTTGGGGTCAGTGTGGGCAATTTGGTAAGACTCTGTCTCAAAATGGGACAGAAAAGGGAGGCCAGGGTGCAGCTCTGTGACTAGCATGCGCAAGGCCCTGGGTTTAACCCTAAATAGTCCCTGCCTAAAATGCACACAATATTTTTTGTTTGCAAGGGAAAAGTTATACATGAGGGACTTTTTAAAGGCTTCTAAATATCTCTTTCAACTGATACCATAACACATGTCTACAATCCCAGCCCTCTGGGAGGCTGGGGCAAGAGAGAATGAAAAAAAAAAAATTTTTTTTTTAAATTTTATTTATTTGTGTGTGTGGCCAGCTCAGCCCACCAGGGGGCAGGGCGGGCTGGCATGTGGTGCTGGGGGATTGAACCGCAGTCCCTGTGCTTTCCTAAACTTGTTCTAAGTAGGTGCTTTAGACCACTGAGCCATCTCACCAGCCCTGAGAATGATAAATTTGATGTCCTTTTTTTGGTACTGGGAATCGAGCTCACAACCTCATGCTTGCTAGCAGGTGCTATGCCACTGAGAGAAACCCTGGCCCTAGGATGGCAAATTTGAGCCAAATCCTTAGTGACTTAAAGAGATCCTGTTTTAACGTAAGTTTTCAAAAGGGCTGGAGATCTAACGTAGTGTGAAGGCCCTAGGTTCAATTCCTAGTACCACCAAAAACCAAAAAAGGGGGTGTGTAGCTCAGTCCCAAAACACCCCGGGTTCAATGCTCATAAAAACTCTAATCTTCTGTCTTGGGAGATAAGGTCTTGCTTGTCACACAACCCAGGCTGTCACTAAATAAGCGAAGCAATCTTTCAGCCTCAGGCTCCCAAAGTGACATGATTACTGGTGGGTATACCACCATGCCTGGCTTTTTTTTTTTTTTTTTTTTTTTTGAGATAGGGTTTTGCTATGTAATTCAGGGTGGTCTCGAGCTCACAATGATCCTCCTGCCTCAGCCTCCTGAGTGCTAGTATTACAAGTACGTACTACCACACCTAGCTTTTTTCTTTTTCTTTTCTTTTTTTTTTTGCGGAACCAGGGATTGAACTCAGGCCCTTGCACTTGCCAGGGAAGCACTTATTCTACTGAGCCATCTCCCCAGCCCCAACAGTTAGCTTTTCTCTTCTCTTCTTTTTTCTCCCTTCTCCTCCTTCCCCCTTCCCTCCTTTTTTCTTCTTCCAGCCTCTTTCTCTTTTTTTTTTTTTTTTCTTGGTACTGAGGGTTGAGTCCAGGCCCTCTTATATACTAGATAATCCCTCTACCATGGAACTATATCCTCAGTCCTTTTTACTTTTTTTTTTTTTAATTTGGAGACATGGTCTTGTAAAGCTGATAAATTGCTCAGGCTGGCTTTCAACTTGTAATTCTCCTGACTCAGCCTTGGGCAGTGTTAGGATTAGAAGTATGAGTCACTGTGTCGGCCGTTTTAGTTTTCTGAGACAGGGTCTCTCACTGTACTGTCCAGGCTGGTCTGGAACTCCTTTTAAAGGGAACCTCCCATCTCAGCATTCCTAGTAGCTGGGACTACAGATGTGGGCCACCAGGCCTGGCTTCCTCCATCTTTCGAGGAGAGTACAAGGTCTGCTTCTGTTTGTTGCTTCTCTTCAGACAGGTCTACCCAATCAGCAGCACAGGCACCTCTCCAGCGCGAGTACACTCCCAGAGACAAGCATGTCCACCTGCTGTGCCTGTCTGATACCCACCTTCTGCTCTGGCTGCCTCTTCCTGGGTCTGGGCTTGGAGAAGGGATTGGTAGGCTGGCTGCCTGGCTGGAAGCTTGGAGGGGAATTTCCTGTAGATTCGGCAGTTGAACAGATCCCTGAGAGCACTGTAGTCAAGTTTCTGTAGCAGTACCACCAGCAGGTTGCAGGCTAACTCCACAGGCACAGCCAGTTCAGGCAGGATATCCTCGTCCAGCACGTGCTATGGGGAGGTGCTCTCACTGTAGGCAGCCCTACAGGCAGCAGCTCTGGGGGCGCCTGGAAAAGGGTCTCTCTGCATAGCCTTCTACCCTGAGCACCCCGAGTAGCACCTGGCTCTTCCCAGAAAGCCCACCACACCTGCACTGGAGAATTCTGCAGATCCCTTCCATGTGGCACTTATACTACCTGGTCCTACCTCCCACCTGCGGCCTTCTGCATGTCTGTCCCTCCCCACACAGGGGCCCCTCCACCCTGGTGTCTCTACCTCCCCATCCAGGTTCTCCTGCAGCATCTGGATAATCTCCCGTTGGTCAGCCTCATCCAACTTCCTGATGAAGAACAGCAGCTCCCACCACTCTGCCTGGCTCAGGTGCTCGCTCCCCTCCGCATCTTCCTCATCAGGCAGCACATACGGCACAGCATATAGCTCAGTCATGGGCTTCCAGCGCCAGGAGGGCAGAACTGCAGAAGTGGGCCGAGGGACGCAGTCATGGCGCACAGCCATGACCCATACCCAGCCAGGCCACAGCCCACCAGCATGGAGCTGCTTCCCCAGCCGGCTCACCTCCACCCAGGGCTCCACTGACCACTGCCTCCTGGTGGTCAGTAGCCTCCACCAAGTCCTCAGCATCTTCCTCGAAGCCCAGGATCTCCAGCATGTGCCAGTGCACCCAATAGGTGCGGCCCAGTGACTCCCACAGCACCTGGAGGAGAGTGAAGGCCATGAGAGGACTAAGGATCGCACTGTGGCTCAAGGAAGAGGATTCATACCCACTTAGTATGGCCACTTGGTCAGGTTTGGAAACAGTTCCCGAAAATAGCCAAACACTGGCTACCCTGTTTTTGCTGGCTCAAGCCTCTTTACTTTCCACCTGGCTTCAAGCAGACTAACGCCCTGAGCCTGACCTCTGGGGGAGCCTAATGCTGCTTGTCCTTGGGTGTTGGCCTTCCAAACCTACCATTTCTCAGCTCTGCAAGGGGCCCCTCTTTTGATTGCTGATCCCTTGGTCTTACTTAGGGTTTTCTCTTTGTATGGCTCATCAGAGCCAAGCTACACCTCACCTCACTAGTGCCCAGCAGTGCCCCGCCACCATGTGCCCCTCACCTGGGCAGGAGGCACGCCTCTGTTGCTTTGCTGGAACTCGCCCTCGTCCCCAGCACTGATCTCCTCATAATCCTCCAGCATCCGCACTCGCATGCCTGGCTGCACCACGTCCCGCACGTATAAGGCATAAGTATTAGCACTTGCGAACTCGGTTCGAGAGCGGAACCGCCTTGATCTTCTCCTGGAGGAGTGCCGGGCAGGACTGGGCAGGAGCTCTGGGCTGGCATCTACTGGCTGTGGCTGGAAGATGGAACAGGGGGACCGCGCCGAGCCCCCTGATCTGCCTGAGGCCTGGTCCCAGCACATAGCCTGCACCAACTCTGAGATCAGGGCGCCCATGGCCATACTGAATTCCAGATCCAGCCGGGCCCTCTCCTCACTCAATTCTGCAGGGATTCCTGGTTCCTGAGGTCTGTTGTTCAGCTGATCCAGGAGTGAGGTGGCATGCAAATACCGCTTCACCAGGGAGAAAAGCAGCTTTCCTGGGACCTGGAGGATACAACTTTGGTCTCCACCTCTTGTCTCCATTCCTGCCCCTTTTTCCATAATGTCCCCAGTGCCAGGTGCAGAGGCATGGTCCTTAGGTCTCATTCCCAACTTTCCCTAGTCTCTGTCCCCCGGATACCTGTGGCAGCTGGATGCCCTCGAAAGACATGGGGTGTTCAGCTAGTGTGGCCTGTGCAAACAGCGCCAGCAGGGCGCAGCGGCTTTCAAAATCCAAGTGTTTCTCAATGGCCTCTTGCTGGCTCAATGACAGAAGGATCTGAGTCCGTGTCTCTGTAACCCACACCACAATCAGTAACTACTCCCTAAATTCACCCTTCTCAGATATCTAACCTACGCTTTCTATTCAAAAATCATCTTGGTACTACTCATCACGAGTGACACGATTTGTTACTATGCTTTAAAAGCCAAAATTTACTATCTTATCCATGCACATTGATAACCCGCAGTGACCTAAATACTTCCTTTTACAAAAAACAAAACATGAAGTTCTTGCAGATTTAGGTTTTCCTTTTTCTGCAGATGTCTCCACCCCACCCCCACTCTCCTCCTTTTCTTTATCTGTCCAAGACAGGAATAGTTTCTGTACCTACGAGGGTCCTCCCAGTGCCTGGTGAATCCCGGAGCTGCTCCAGACCCCTTCTGCTCTCCCTCCCTCCCTCTCCATGCCAACACTCACCAGCATCGTGGGAGGACAGGGCCTGTATCATTCGGCCAGCACTCCAACGAATCTGATAATCCGGGCTACTCAACATGTGCATGAGCAAGTCCAGGATCTTTGGGTCTTTAAAGACCTCAGTGAGGGGCTCAATGCTGGCATAGGCACTGAGCACATGGACGGTGTGGAGCAGAGCGGCAGGAGGGGCAGTGCCCACACACTCCTCCAGCTGCCGAAGTGCCCTCTGAATCAGGGACTTTACATCAGCTTCCATCTCCCCAAGCACAGATTTGTCCAAGGTCCCAGACTCCATTGTAGATTCCTGGGAGGGCCCGATGACCTGGCCATTCTCGCCTAGCATCTTGTGGCAGTTGGCATAGATCTCATCATCAGACATCCACAGCAGGATGTGCTCAGCCTTGCAGCGCACTTGGCCAGAGCCCCCTTCCCCATCCTCTCCGCGCCTAAGGATGAGCCAGCGGATCTGGTACTCAGGGTGCCCGTCATGGCCCACTCGCTGTCGGATCAGCTCATCAGGATAGGCATGCAGGCCAGGACCCAGGGGCACCCTGAATTCTCTGTAGCGGAGTTCCCCCACCATCCTAGAGCCTAGAACACACAAGTGAAAGAGGACAAGCTGGAGTGAGGGGGTAGGTCAGAAAATCAAACCCATCCAGAAGTCATGGAAGCAAAGGTCGCAACAGCTACAGGCCTGGGAAGTGTAAAGGTGGGTCCAAGAGCTGCCTGCTGCAGTCTGGATGGGGCCAGGGTCAGGTAGGGGGACCCCAGGGGCAAGGTGGCAGTCATGAGGCCTTGCAGCCTGCAGTACAAGGGAGATAGACCGGCCTTGGAGTCAGAGCTCAACAAGCCTGAGGCAGGCAGTCCAGCTAGCTAGGGAAGGGAGTGAGGCCTGAGGGTGCGAGGGCTCAGAAGGGGAGCCCCAGCACATGCAGACAGGGTTGCTTTTCTTAAGAGCTGAAGGGTGGGATTTCGAGTTGCTATATCCTGAGAACTGGAGAGAGAAGTGGAGTGCCAGGGCAATGGCCAGGGAGGAGGGCGTGTCTGGAGACAGTGATGTGTGGTGAACTTAGGCGATGAGGGTGCTGGGGATGCTGAGAGCCCGCAAAAGATGCACTGGAGAGTGGGGGATGGGGTGGGTGGTGGGGCATGCAGGAGGGGGCTGGGCCGATGCGGAACTCTAGACTGGTGGGAAGGGGGACGCGAGGTGGGGTGGACGCTGGGGTCGGGGTGGGGGACCGGCCACCTTAGAAGTGCACAGGTTCGAACGCGAGCAGGTCTTCCACGCTGGGGGCGCACAGGACCAGAGGTGATGAAGCTGCCGGAGACCAACGCCGAAGGGATCTTGGTGGGAGGGCGTGTCTCCCAAGCTGGGAGGGGGTGCGCGCAAGTGAATCTGGCCCCAGCAGGGTCACTGCGCCGGGCCGGCGGCCTTGGGAACACAACGAGCCTGGTCGTCGCCCGCGCGGGGCCCTGCTCGGGGGGCTCCACTGCCCAGCCCGTGGCTCATTTCCGCCAGATCCAGCGGAAAGCAGGGGGCCGGGTGCACGGGGCGGAGCTGGCTGCCAACTCGGCGGACATCTCCTTGGCACCGCCCTTTCCTCTTCCTCTGTCCTCCTTCCCGCCACCGGAAGTGTCTTCCCACATCCTAAATCGTACAGCTGGGAAAGGGTTCAAGGATAATCTGTGTCTCCCGTGCCCACCCTACAGCCCTTTTCTTTCTCTCCCCACCATACCTGTTGGTTATACCCATGACCAGGCTGTACTCTCTCAAAAAACCAAAAACAACCCAACATAAAAATGAGGCATTTTATTACAGTTCAGGGATATCAGCTTTGGGTAGCAGCACAGGGCAGCTTCACATAACTCTTCATAGGAGGAAGGGGCCGGATCTTGCGACCAGCCCAGCCCCCCTTGCGGTGCCACAGCCCGCTGTTAGGCCTCTTGCCCAGCCAGCGATTCCGACCTGCTTTGCCGATGACTCGTTTGTTATGTTCCACATTGGACACTCGGCCCACCGTAGCTGTGCACGTCTCCAGCACCTGCCAGAGAAGTAGAAGGGAAGGACGCATGGTCTAGGATTGGTGGAGAAGTGGGGGCGTGTGGCAATGGTGTCAACAGGACTCTGACACTGTTGTACTCCAGGACAGGAGATGGGGAAGCACAACGTAGCCGAGCCTAAGTGGGAACGGGACAGTTGGAAATGGAAGATACCGTTTCTTACTGCATTAAGGAAGCACTATGATGAAGCTTGCTTCGGCGTGTGGCAACACAGGCCCAGGTGGAGGCAGTTAGCACCCTAACAGGCGGGCAGCTATGACACAACAGAGAGCTCCCCCCACCCCCACCCCACACACCTGCATCTGCCTCTTCGAGGGCAGCTGGATAATGGCTGTCCCATTCACCTTCCTCAGCAGTACACCGCATGTCCCTGGGAAAAGGAGGAACAGCTCTGCCACCTCCCACAGTGGAGAGGAGCAGGGTTCCCCTGGGGGGCCATACCCCACATGCTGTCCTTGCCTTGCCCTTTAGGGGCAGACACAACAAAGAACGTATGCCATTTTTTAGGTCAAAACACAACATGCAGGACGGGCGAGATAGCTCAGTGGACTAAGCGCCGATAGCTCAGTGGACTAAGCGCCTGCTTTGGCAAAGTGCAGGGAGCAGGGTTTGATCCCATGTCCCTGGGGTGCACTGAGCTAGTGAATGAGTGCAGGCAGGATGGTGCAAGCCTGTAATCCCAGCTCTGGGGAGGCTGACAACACGAGAATCATTGAATTGCATAGCGAGACCCTGTACCAAATACATAAATGAAAAAAATAATAAAATAAATAGGGTTGGCCAAATAGTTCAGTGGATTAAAGCACCTGCAAGCAGGCACAGGGGCTGGGGGTTCAATCCCCAGGCCCACCTGCCCCTGGGGTGTGCTGAGACAGCAACTGAGACTGGGCGTGGTGTCGTGCGCCTGTAAACCCAGCTCTTGGAAGACTGTAAACAGGCGGATCACTATGAGTCTGATCTAGTAGTGAGACCCTGAACACCCTGTAGACCCTTCCCTAAAATACAGAAAATAAATAAAATAAAATAAATAAACCACAACATGCATTCATCCTCATGTCCCCCTTTATTTCCTCTTCTTTGCCCTGAGACTAGATGTGAGCCCATGGATTCTGAGAACTGTGATGTTAGGCACCCTTAGCCTTCCATACTATAGGGTCCAGGGCCCTCTCCCCATACCTGCAGCTCGGATATACTGGGCCCCTCGGCCTGGTTCACTTTCCACATTGTTGATGAGGGTCCCCACAGGCAGGGCCCCAAGAGGATGTGCGTCCCCTTCCTGAGCAGAAACTAAAAGACAGGATTCATCAGGTCTTGAACCTTTGTAGCCTGCAGCCCACACATCCAGCAGCTGCCTCTCACCTGCCATTCGGCCTATCTGGTTGGAGTTTAGGATCACATCTCCTGCCTGCATGTTTTCTGTGGCAATGATCCAGCGTTTCCGGATACCACCAGCAACCAGAGCTATGTCTGCTGACCTGTTCAGGAAGGTCAAATGAGACAATCCAGGAAGCCTTCACATTTTCTGAAATACTACATAGCAGACATTCACAGGGTGATCATACCACATCCCAAACTTGCCTACAGGGATCATAGCGGACACTGACAACCTTTTCCTCAAAAGGTCCTGGATTGGCCTCCTGTTCTGGCCGGAAACGCAGAAAGTCAATCATGCGATAACGCTGCTTGTGGCCTCCACCAATACCGTGGACACTGATGCGGCCTACAGTGGAGACAGAAGACATGATCCAGTTTACACTGGTTCAACTCCCAGCACTGGGAACAGGTCTGAGCAGGGCCAGAATGCAGTGCTGCCAACATTATGGCACAAAGAGAAAACAATAAAAATTTGCACAACTTACTAGAGTGTGTATAGGTGCAGCATTTACAAGGAGCTTAGTAAAAACATGATTACTGAACTTGTATAAAATTTCCACATATTGTTTTTGAATTGCTAAATTCAGCAGATTAGCAAAGTCCTGTCAGTTGTATACCAACATTTTTTTTTTGGGGGGGGGCAGAACTGGGGATTGAACTCACGCCCTTGCGCTTGCCAGGAAAGTGCTTATTCTACTGAGCCATCTCCCCGCCCTCAGTATACCAACATTTTTGACTTATAAATTTTATTTTTGTTGTTTTTTGGGGTTTTTTTGGGGGGAGCTAAGGATTGAACTCAGACCCTTGTGCTTGCTGGGGAAGCATTTATTCTACTGAGCCATCTCCCCGGCCCCTCAAATTTTTTTATTTATATATCTTTTTAACTTTAGGGAACGGTCTATAGGGTGTTCAGGGTCTCACTACTAGATTGGACTCATAGTGATCCATCGGTTTACAGCTTCCCAAGAGCTGGGATTACAGGCATGCACCACCACACCCAGTCTCAATCTCTGTCTCAGCGTACCCCGGGGGCAGGGCTGGCTGGCACAACAGGTCCAGGGGATCAAACCCCTGGCCCCTGCACCTGCTTACAGGTGCTTTATTTTTATTTATTTTTTTGGAACCGGGGATTGAACTCAGGCCTTTGCACTTGCCAGGGAAGCACTTATTCCACTGAGCCATCTCCTCGGCCCTGACTTATACATTTTGGAAGGGTGTAAAAGAAACTGTTATAAAAAAAAAAAGAAACTGTCATGACATTTCCTTTGTAAGGTCAGTTGTCTGTTGCTTTGTCTCTGGCCCCAATGATGTTCTACATGCACGAGGATGTAGAAATGCTTAATTACATTCCTCTGCCACCTTACAAAGCATAAATGGGTTATATAAGTCTAAGCTCCCAGTATGTTTTCCCCTTTACTGCTACACCTCCTTGTCTTGCTCCCACCTGTCTGGTCTCGACCCCCAGACTTCCTCATCTTTACTGGTGCGATGGTATACTTGGTACGACTCTTCCAGGACACAATCTTGGCATTAAGGGCCACAGAAGTACGGAGTGGGCGGCAGGAGAGCAACATCACACTAGAGGGCAGTTGGAAGGCATTGCTTATCACCTAGGAATAGAAAGAAATCCCATCCATTTAAAATCTTTTTTTTTTTTTTTTTTTTGGCAGAACCGGGGATTGAACTCAGGCCCTTGCGCTTGCCAAGGAAGCGCTTATTCCACTGAGCCATCTCCCCAGCCCCCATTTGAAATCTAATTGAAGGAGAAAAAGCAGAGAACCAAAGAAAGAGCACAGACCTCCCAGAAGTGTCCCAGAAGAGCTGTCTAAACCGTCCACTCATCACAGATTGCATAAATATCAATACAGGGGCCAGGGAGATGGCTCAGTAGAATAAGCACTTGCCTGGCAAGTGCAAGGGCCTGAGTTCAATCCCCGGTTCCGCAAAAAAATAAATAAAATTAAAAAAATAAATACCAGTACAGTGTTTATCCAGATGTAACATGTGCATTACTTCTCATTTGATCTCTCACCTCTCAAGTATTTAATGGAATGTTCTACCTTGGTCATCTCCTTCCCTGGAAGCTTTTTCTTCTCTCAAAAGCGTCTCTTGAATCAGTAACTTCTAAATATCACTATAAGGGCTGGCCAAATAGCTCGGCGGACTGAACCCCTGGAGAAGGGACGGAGGGTTCAATCCCCGCTCCCCCAACCAGCCCAGCCCCCAGGGAGCACTGAGATGGCAATTAAGACTGGGCATGGTGGAGCAGGCCTGTAAACTCAGCTCTTGGGAGGCTGTAAACAGGTGGATCACTAGGACTCTGATCTAGTAGTAAGACCCTGAACACCCTGTAGACCCTTCCCTAAAATATAAATAAATATTACTGTTAATACCAATGGCATTTTCCCTCTGTATGATCTGGGAGTTTTCCACCTATGAATGGAAGACTAGGATCATTTATGTCTTGCTCCTTGGTGGATTCCCAGTAGAGAGTAGCCTGGTTTTTAACAGGACGTTAGTTTGGTTTTGAACTTTATCCATCTGCCAAACCCTATAGCCCCAGAACCTGCGGAGCAATTTTCTGTAATTCACCAGTTGTAGGCTGGGGATATAGCTCAATGGCAAGAGCCTGCCTGACAAAGGCAATGTCTTCAGTTCGATCCCTGGTACTGAGAAAGAAAAAAAAAAAATTCACCAGTTGTCCACTAGGGGTCTGAGAAACCTTCTCCTGAGGCCACTACCGTTAAGACTGTTGTCTTCCACTACAAAGAACAATAAACCTACAAAGACAACAATATGCAATGTATTAATTATTGTTACTGTCCGACTAACCTGTTTTGAAACTGTCTCATTGCTGTCTCTCTTTCTCAATTAAAAAAAAAAAGAAAAGAATCTTGTCTTCTCAGCAAAAAACACATCTTGGCAAATATCATAATGGTTAAAAGCACAGGATGGGACAAGGGGTTACGTAGCTCAGTGATAGCGCAGTGCTTAGCACACACCAGGCTCTAGGTTCAAGTCCCATCAACAAGGAAGCAGGAGAACAGTCTCTAAAGCTGACTGTCTAGCTCCAAATGGAAATGCTAACAACTATCTTATAGAGTAGTTGAAAGGAGTTTATTAATGTATTTGAAGTGTTTTTGTTTTGTTGGTTTTTGTTTTTGCGAAACAGGGTCTTGCTATGTAGCCCAGGCTGGCGGAAAACTCCTGGGGATCCTTTTCCCTTAGCCTCTCAAGTGTTGGGATTAGAACGCTGAGCCTTCACACTCGGCTGTATTTGAAATGTCCATTACACATGTCTTCCTAAGCTTAACCATTCAACAACCTGTACAACCGATGATCTGAAAAGCACCTGCTTTTCACTGCACTCCAGTGTCTCTTCCAAAGAATCTCACACTATAAGACAGGGTTACTTATAAAGGAGAGTGGTCAGGCGTAGTGACGGAGGTCTGAAGTGGAAAACTGTGGCAGGAGGATCGTCAAGAGTTCGAAGCCAGTCTGGGCTAGTCAACTCAAGCCTTGCTTGGAACTACACAGCGAGATCTTGTCTCAAAAAAAAAAAAAAAAAAGAAAAGAAAAGAAAAGAAAAGAAAGGTAAAGGAGAGAGCTGAGGCTAAGAGTGATTTATCCTACGTCCCGGGCCTGCTCGACCTCCGACCGGACTCGCTTGCACTCCCGATCTTCCATCCCCGCCTGCCCTCTCCTGTGGCCCAAAAGGGACAGCCTCCTCGTCGGGTAATGCTGATTACCTGGGCGGCAGGGAGCAGACGAGGGACTGGTCCGCTAACAGCTGTAGGCGCCAGGCTGAGAGAGCCCAGAGCACGAGTCAGACACCACAGGGCCATGCGAGCAGAACAGACCCTCAGCTCGGTACTTCTAACCTTAGGCTGTTTGGCGCTCCTGCGTGACGTCAGCAGCCCAGTGCAGTCTCTTTCTGATGACGTAAAGGAGGCCAAACAAGAACTGGAGGCCCCAACGGGGAAACGCCTCTGCTCCGCCCAGAGCGTTTTCAGAGCCAATCCTCGTGTGTCTCTGAGGTCTCGTGACTGAGGGACCGCCTCCGCCCCGAGAGCCGTCAAAACAATTGCCTCGAGCGGCAGCCATGATGGATTTAAAGGGACAGTACCGGCAAAGGATACAACCAGACCGATAGACTGCAGGTAAGTCTTTGAGGGTACCGCTGGGCCCGAGGAATAAAGTCTTGGCCATCTCTTATTCTTGCATTCCCAAACAGATGCGCAATCCCCCATCGACAAAACTCTAGATTCAAAACTCCGCCCCCCGCGATTCTTCCCCGCCCCCCCGACGTCCAGACGGACAGACAGACTACCCGCCCCGCCCCCTGCGCGCAGACGGCCTTGACCTCGGGGTATCTGGGTGTCGGGTCCCGGTTAGCGGCACAGACCTCGGCCCGTCACAGACACCCGGTCCCCTCGGCCTCGTCTTGTGTCACTCTGTCCCCACCGAGGGCCCAAGGGCACGTCCACAATCGGGACATTTGATCTCAGCCCAAGTGTAGGAAACTTGCTACCCGCGTCCGCTGGACCGAGGCACCAAGCAATTTTCCTATTCTTCCAGGCAGAGGAGGGCCCTGCGAGGCACCCCCAGGTGATTCCTCCCAGAGCCTGTTATAGGCGATGGTGACAGAGAACGCCATGGAAGTAACGAGGCTAGGAGTAACCGGGTTTTCCTCCTCCGCTCGTCTCAGACACACCCCTGCCCCTCAGGTCTCTGATTTAATCAGTGTCTTCCTTCTTGGGAGAAAGTAGCTCCCTCAGGCAGGAGGAGGGACATGGGTCGTCTTTGAAGACCTGTAGGTAGGAAGGAGGTTGTTTGTCCTGGGTGGGGCTCTGTGCCAGGTCCTCTGGGTGGCTGAAGTAGTGAGACAAAGGGTGGGACTGCCGGACTTCTGGACTTTGGGCAGAGCAGATCCTCCTGAAACCCTGATTGCTGGGTAGAGTTTCTACCTGGCCAGCCCTCAGCGCTGTAGCCGAGTGCTCTGCTCTGAACACAGGTAAGAGGACTTCAGAGGTGAAGAGCTAGGGCCTTTTGAGGAAGTGGGAAGGCAGGCTGAGACCTAGGGGCTGGGAGGTACTTCCTGTAGGCTATGGGGAAAGAGGACACTGGGTGAAGACCTTGAACCTTCTGGAACCCTTTCCTCTGGGTCCTGTGAGGAAGGCTCCGGTTTTATTTTCCTTTTCTTTCCTAATTTGAAACTTAGTCATCTGTTTTGGGGCTATTTCCTGTCTACTTTAAGCTGTGTTACCTTTTGTAGTGCTCCTGAAGTCTCTGCATAATCTCTGTAGTGCTCTCAACCCCTGCTTCCTTTCCATACAAATGCTCCCGTTGTTTTGTCCTTAAATCCTCAATCCCTTTGCTAGCACCTTTGCTCCTTCTGTGGACTTTCCTCCTGCACGTTGTTGCCAGTTCCTTTCCTTTATCCTAGCTTTGCATGTGGTGGCTTTTTAAAACTGAACCACAGGTTCCCCATACTCTTATTCCTTCACCTAGATCTCTATCACCTACCCTCTAACCAAGATGCTCAGCCTTTCTGGCTTGCCTTTTTTTTTTTTTTTTGCCTTTTTTTTCCAGTCTTTTTGAGACAGGGTCTCACTATGTAGTTCATGCTTGTCTTGAGCTCACTTTGTAGCCCAGAGTGGTCTTGAACCCAATGATCCTTCTGCTTCAGCCTCCACAATGCTGAGATCACAGGCATGCGCCACAATGCCTATTTTTGACTCATCTTTGCCCAAGCTGAACTCTGTTATTTCTCTCCAGCCCTGGCGAGGTCACCCTAATCAGGATGTCGGGCCTGGTGTTGGGGCAGCGGGATGAGCCAGTAGGTCACCGGCTCAGCCAAGAGGAGATCTTGGGGAGCACCCGGCTGGTGAGCCAAGGGCTGGAGGCCTTACACAGTGAGCACCAGGCTGTGCTGCAAAGCCTGTCCCACACCATTGAGTGTCTGCAGCAGGGAGGCCACGAGGAAGGACTGGTGCATGAGAAGGCCCGGCAACTGCGCCGTTCTATGGAAAACATCGAGCTGGGGCTGAGTGAGGCCCAGGTGAGAGAAGTGGTGCCAGGTGGCCCAGAGTACGTGGAGGAATAGTTTTCTGATGGCAAGCTTGAGGAGGTTGTTTGGAATCACTTTGTCCTACATGGTTGCATTCAGTCAATGCCTGTTAAGCCTTTATTATGTTCCAGGAACTTCTTTTGGTATTGGGGAGACATCAGCGAATACAGTAATGAAAACCTTTGCCATCTGAGGGCTGATACTACACAAATAAGTAAATGATTCAGCATATCAGAGGGAATAATGCCACACTTATAATTCCTGCTACCTGGGAAGCTGAAGCTGAAAGATCATAAGTTCAAGATCTGCCTGGGCAACTTAGGCAGATCAAAAAATAAAAAAGGCTGTTTTTTTTTTTTTTCCCCCTGGGAATTAAATTGAGGCTCTCTCACTTGCCAGGCAGGCACTGCGCTGCTGAGCTATATTCCAGGCCCAGGGTTAGGGTTTGTAGCTCACTGGCAAACCATGTATGAGACTCTAGTTCCATCCTGAGTACCAAAGATAAGTAAATAAATAAATGCAAGGAAGAGCACTGAAAAGGTGCTGTTTGAGCAAGTGAGAGGATGCTTTATGCATTAAGTAGGAAAACCATCTGAGCAGAGGAAGAACAGCAAGTGCAAGGATCTGGCTTGGAGCCTGGGTTTCAGGACACAGGTGTGACTGCAGTAGAATGGATAAGGGGAATTACAGTGGAAGAGAGAGGGCCCGATGACATGGAACTTGTAGGCCATCGGAGGGAATTTGATTTTACTCTGAGAGAGATAGGGAAATGGTTGGAATGTTTTGAGGGGCGATGTGGTCTGTCTTGCTGCCATCTGGCTGCCAAGCTGAGAATAGACTCTAAAGGAGTTTGAACGGAACGAGGAGCCCGTGTGGGAGGCTGTTAGGGTTATTCAGGTGGGAATTGGTGGCCTTGTCAAGGCTAATGGCAGTGAGATGGAGGGACATTGGATTTGGGGTGTATTTGGAGGGTAGAGCTGCTGCTCTGCACTCCTGTCCACTGGCTCCTCTGTGCCCTGCCAGACTGGCCCCCTGTCAGGCTTCCCTTCTGCCTGGCCCTGAACACTTCATCCAGAGCCCCAAGCTCACAGGCTGTGCCCACCTAGGTGATGCTAGCCCTTGCCAGCCACCTGAGTACGGTGGAATCGGAGAAACAGAAGCTGCGGGCTCAGGTGCGGCGGCTGTGCCAGGAAAACCAGTGGCTCCGGGATGAGCTGGCGGGCACCCAGCAGCGGCTGCAGCGCAGTGAACAGGCTGTGGCCCAGCTGGAGGAGGAAAAGAAGCACCTGGAGTTCCTGGGACAGCTGCGGCAGTATGACGAGGACGGGCATGCCATGGTGAGCAGGCGTGGGCTGGACAGTTGGGCCCATGAGTAGGCAGTTGTCCCTCATCCTCAGGGGCCAGTAATAGTGCCCAGCTGGTCTTCACCTGGCAGAGTTCCTTTTCCAGTCCTGGCACCAGCTCCAGGTGGACAGCAAGGGAAAAAGCAGTCTTCACTCATTCAGCCAGCATTGAATGTGTGCTAGGCACCGTGCGCTGCATCGGCAAATGGGCAGCCAGTGCTTTTTCTAGTGGCCTTAGGTTTGTGAGGTGAGAGAGATAAACACTAGACAAAGCACTCACCACTCCTGAGTCAGTCAGAAAGCATAGCCCGAGTTGCATAAGACTTTCTTGAGATTTGTTCTCCAAGTGAATAAAATTCAACCCTCATTTAGCAGGCTTTTACCATGGTGCATGTCTCTCCGTGCCTTGTCAGTGAAAGAAGTGTATAGAGGAGATGTAAGGAGCCGTGAGAGTAGCCAGGCGTGGTAGTGGACACCTGTAATTCCTGCACTTGGAGTTGATATATTCTGATGGAGGATGAAGAGGAGGAGATGCTTTCCAGGCTGGGGAGAGGGTCCAGGCTGCAGAGCTGGTCGGGGCCAAGCAGCCTACCAAAGTGATTTGTATGGCACACAGCAATGAAATGGTAGGAAGTAGGAGGTCGGAGGCCTTTGTGTGAGGGCAAATTTCTACTGGGAAAAACACATTTTTCCAGGGTGGAATAGCATACATGGAGAAGCCTAGAACTGAGTCCAGAGCAGGTAGGGGACAAAGACTGGCCTGAGGCTGAGCTGGACACTTTGGATACGTGTCGGGAAGCTCAGACACACTCCATCTCTCAAGGACAGACAGGACAGACATATAATCAGTGTAAACACACAGGGATCAACATGGGGCTGTAATTGCAGGGGCTGAGCCAGGGGGAGGGGGAAGTTGTACAGTGAGGGTGGTGAGGAAGGGAACTTTTTGGGTGTGAAGGAAAGGACGGTCCTAAGATCCTGTCCTGGCCAGATGTGGTAGTGCATGCCTGTAATCCCAGCACTGGGGAGTTTAAGGTCAGCCTGGGCTACATAGGGAGACCCTGTCTCAAGAAACAAAAGAATATAAGGTCCTGTCCTAATGTCTCTGGCTTTTACAAACAAGAGAGGCCTAAGCTTGGTTGGGCCATATGTATCCTTTCCCGGGGCAGAGGCAGGAACAAAGGTCTTTTCCCATCTATGGGTAATTTTGTGGCTCAGAAACACCCAGGCAGCACCTGTTGGGGCCTGACACCCTACTCTTTTCCCTTCTAGGAGGACAAGGAACGTGATGCCACTAAGGACTCCCTGGATGACCTCTTCCCCAACGAGGAGGAGGAAGACCCCAGCAATGGCCGTGAGTCTGCCTTAGAGTTGGAGAGGGCAGCAGGAGATCTCACTGTCTACTTCCTGAGAAGATGGGGAAGGGGCAAGGCTCTGTCTGCTTTGATTCCCTTGGCCTCCCCCTTCCTCCTCTATATTCTTTAAACAGTTAATATGTGTCAAGCGCTAGA